TGAATGGAATAAGCTAGATAATTCATTGAGAACGGCTTCCTCTGTCAATTCATTTAAGAGATTGTTTAAACAAAGTTGTAATTTGTGAATGGCTCAGCCGTATATACACTACGTGCATGTTCTGTAATATTTACATGACTTATTCACATAATTGCGACTTAATTAATATTTTCCTATTGACATTACTGTTTACTAGGTTTATGATATATGTTTATTTTGCAAACGAGTATTATTTTTGTAACTGTTCTGTATAAATGTTATAAACGATGTAAATATGTTCATTCAGGGCCCCATGGAAGACCACTACTTGCTGGTGAATGGGCTACCCTGTCAAAAGATCAGAAATAAATAAATAAATAAATAAATAAAAATACAAGGAATTTCATAAGTTGACCTCTGTGACCTGTGACCTTTGACCTACATACTCCAAAATCTAATCAGATCGTCTTCCTATGGTGATAAATACTATTCCCGAGTCTTAAGTTTAAATCTTAAATGGTTCTTGAGATATTGTGATAACGGTCAAACGGGACGGACGTACGGACGTACGGACGGACAACCCGAAAACATGATGCCTCCGGCACCACCTTCGGTGGCGGAGGCATAAAAAAGGACAATAAAAGGAACCTGAGAAACTTGTGAATTTTTTGCTATGATTGAAGTTCTTGACATATTTCTGCTCCCTTGCCCGACAAGGTGACTGATAGTTGAAAAAAAAGCTATGAGTTTGGTGGTCTGCATAGGGCTACATATTTGTGAATTAGATAATACAGTGAAACCTGTATACAAAGACTGCTAAAGGGAGAGAAGAAAAGCGGTCTTTATAGGCAGGCGGCCTTAATGGGCAGGTGGCCTTTATTACAGGTGACCTTCATGTACAGGTTCCTTTAGTACAAAATTCAATAAGAAATTCTTATCAACGGAAACAGAAATGTGCACTTTGTTAGACAAGTGGCCTTTCCATACAGATGGTCGCTAAGGCAGGTTTGACTTTTCTTGTCACTAATTCCTCTCACATACAGTATATGCCATGTGATCTTCCTATATACAGCAGGCCTATTATTATGGATGTATCACCATACTATCACGTAAGATTGATAGATGATAGGCCTTGACACATCTGTGCAGCTCGTTAAGTTCCTCAATATACGATGACAGTGCAGTAATTGGCTCTTTGCAGTCTGACCTAAGTTTACCTGTTCATACGTAAGTAGGTCAAAAGTTGGGTATAGAAACTCATATTTTCCTTGAATTTGAAAAGTAGATGAGGATTGGCCTTTAATACACAATATTTCAAATACACCATGTATTTGCGTTGAATCTCTTTGATGATACAAAGTTCATCTTTGGGTAGATATGCTCAGGTAAATCAGTTTTGAATACTGTACTTTCTATGGAATGGCCGATGCAATGTTTGATGACTTTTCAATTCTACGTAAAAAGAACAGGGGATCCCTCTAGGTCAAACTTAAAGTAAATGGAACCAAAAATATCTTCATTAGTGCGCAGCAAGGGTGTAGTAGCAATGATTTATATGATGTTCTTGTCATGCACAACATGCTTGTTAACATACATATCATTCTTGGAATGTTTACCAATCAAATGCCTCTCATTGTGCAGACCTAATGACATGTTAAAATGATGTACGGTGTATATTGCAACCTTGCTTTGCCCAAGCAAAAAAATGCTATTAACCCTGGACTGTTTTTAAATGACTGCAATCACTTTTTTGGATAGAGCAATTATTAGTCATTAGTCTTCTTAATGATCCTTAAGGCATGTCACTTTGAGAAAAGCAATCAATTTCAGAAACGACATTTATTGATGGAACCCTGCTCTTACTATAATTATTATTTGTTTGGCACTTTTATACAAGTCATTCATATATTAATTATAACAAATTGAAGGAATAAAATGAATATTTACTCATTTGCCAGGGTTTTCCCCTAGCCACTATAGAAAAGGCAAGATTACTAGACCCGTACGTCTTTCCTCCTGACATACAAGAAATGTTAGTCAGTGTTAAACTTTACCAGCTACAAAGATAATTTGCTCAACATGTCAGGGATTCCACATCACTATACTATTTTCAAGCTACAAGCTCTATTCAATTTTATTCCTTGTTTTCTAATTAACTGTTATCCCATAGAATGCAAGGTTTAAAAAAATGGTTGATTTTATATTTCATACCTTCTAGTTGTACTCAAATTATATTTGTTAGGTGATTGGTAGACTTTAAAACAGAGACAAACTCCTACAACACATTTACAGTCTTGTTCTATAATTTAAGAAGATTGAAATGGTGCAAAAAGGGTGCAAAAATAAAAAAAATAAAGCTAAATATTATCCCCTTATGATCAGCTTACAAAACGAAACCACTTTGACGTAATTTCTTTGGAAGATATCTGAAGAGTCCTGATGTTAAACGTTTGATGTAATTAAATATATCAAGTGAATTGATCCACTTCCGAGCCACCAGTTCGGACGCTCCACTGGCTAGGTAGCCCTGATGGTCAATTACAATTCAGGTAGCATTATCATCCAGAGTCCGAGAGTGTGTGTGTGTGTGTTCGAGAGTGAGTGTGTAAGGTATACCGGTAGTGACATCAACCTGCTACTCTATCCTCTCCTATGTCCCATCGATTACAAGCAGTGCCTCAGGATATTATATCCTCACCATTCATCTCATCAAATCACAAACTCTACTCCTAGCTTTACCTGTACCCCCATTTCTTTTTCATTAAAATTAGGTGAGGTTTTTTGGTTCACTTTTTGATGAAAGAGTTTCACTAAGGATGGAAAAATGGGAAGGAATCGTCATCCCAGGAGAAGAAAATAAGTCTATAAGCATAAGATGAAAACAAGAGTAACATGAAGCCAAAACGCTTAAGATATGGCGCTGTAAACCGCTGCTAAAAAACACAGGATGATTCTGGACAATGAGATGCATAAGTAATGGAACCGGAATCGCTCCATGTTAGCCTTCACCAAAAGTTGATTAAAAATACTATACAGCAGTGGTTGCTATTTTGGTAAAGTACCCTGCCTTAAAAATCAAGTTGTTTTACACGCACAGAGCTGAGTTGTAGGCCTGCATGCAAATCCCATATCAGGAAGATCTAACATGACAAGAAAACAATGTCTTTATGCCCATTTACATTGTAGAAAACAAGTTTGAAAAAACCATTGATTTTATTTGAACCACCATCTACATTACTGGAAAGGCCCATAAAAAGGCTGTCGGTGTTTGCTCATTCTTTTTTGTACCTGTTCTGCATGTGATAGCATGGAAGCAAGAGGAGTTACATGAACCGTATTAACGGTGTATAAGCCACACCCCTCTTTTTCGCCCTAAATTTTTTTTTTTAATTCTGACTCTGTCGGCAGCAAGCCAGGTCTGTGTTAAAAAACCCATGCGGGAAGGCCTTTCATTTAACTGCGAGGTGCAGCTGAATGTGTAAGATCATTAATGTAAATTAAAATACAGTAGAGGACCTAGGATAGAACCTTGTGGTACGCCATGTAATAGAAGACAAATTGGAGGAATTATTATTATAAACTACATATTGAGATCTATTAGAAAGATTACTTTCAAACCTTCTAGTTTCCGAGTGGTGAGTCAACACACCGATTACTGAGCTGGGAGACATTGCCAGGCATAGCGCCAGGTTTTTTTTGGTTTTTTTTTGGTGTACCGTGTATAAGACGAACCCCCTTTGAATTTTTTTCGGCGGCAAAAAAGTGTGGTTAATACACCGTTAATTACGGTATGTGAGCAAAAACCAGAATAATTCACTGGTGTTGTACATGTAAAAGCTAGAATTTACACTGCAAAAAAAAACGGCAGAGTTTCAGCAAGCGTTTCAAATAACCACAATTTTAGAGGTAATTTTTTGTTATGGTATTGTCTTTTTGCCTAACAAACTCTGAATGTGAGAGAAACCAACGGTTTTTACTTGAGTGTAAATGCTCCTTCTATCAGTATTCAAGTCAGGTATTGAGAACGCTAAGGGATACATGTGAGATACCACTTATCTGCTTTCTTTCATTTGCATTTCATCATGTCCCAGGAGTGGCGCACTGCTTTACAAAACCTATCGTCTCTCATTAATAATCACCTAAAGCTCAAAAACGCATCTAGAGAAGCGCTCTATCATCATAATGCTCATTGGAATAAAACTATGAATTTTCTCTACATCACAAAATGATAAAGTTGATTTACTCATCATGTATCACTATCGACATTAACCTGCATGACATTTTGACAAGTTCTTTATTTAGATTTTCTATCATCCTAGCAATCAATGCTACTGTCATTTAAAAAAAAACTACTTTCGCATTGCCATATTAACTATATTCATGAAGTAAATATAATTCTGGATAGTAAGTAACATCCTTTTCTTCTATTGCACTTCGATGCATCCATACTGGGTTGCTGACTCTTTCTAATCATCCATTAAAATATGAACATATTCTCATCCTAGGACAGATTTCAGTTCTGCTTCAACTCACATGATAAAAAGCCAACATTTAATAGTTAGGATGCTATTGTCCCGACTAATATCACAGTGAATTTTCTTTTATCGCTCTGCTCCAGCTGGGCATGTTCTCTTTCTACTTCAAACTATCTCCTCCTTCTTTCTTGCTCAGTTCTCTTCCTTTCCTTGTAATCTGCTATCTATTTCCTTCTCCTATTTTTGTCACCAATTCTCAATTTTTGTTTTCTCTTTGCTTTCATGATAACATCTGTATATCAGTCAAATAAGAAATCTATAATTTGTTACTGGAAGAATGAGATTGAGAATGATGATATTAAGAAATTCAAACCTCCAAACTATCCGGAACGCTGTTGTACATGTACACTGTAAGTTAACCCGACGATTACTAAATTTTCTCACTGCCACAGGCTTACTACATGTACATGGACCACTCGGTTCCAGAAGGCAATGGGTTAAATTCATGGCCTTATCAAGAAAAGTTTCTAGGATGCATTGACTTACCATAGTGGAGTTGGACGATAAATGGATGATTCACATCCACCAAGATGTTTCTCTCCATCTTTGTCCTCACACGATCACGTACTGTTAAATAATGAAAAGACAAAGAGATATATAACTAAAGACAAAGACACATATAACTAAACATCATGGAATATTAAAGATGATTAGGAGGAGATGTAGAAATGACTGAATTATTGTAGAGATAAGGACATAATGTAGGCATATCTAGAAATTAGTATACAACATTATACAATATACCAAAGGATGGTTAAAGCTATGAGGAAACATAGTTGACAAGACTATGGAGTTATACAAAAAACAAGAAAGTGATAACAAATACAATGGCAATTTATAAGAGCATTTGGGATAGGCAGAAAGGAGGGATTCCTTATATAAAAGCCTACCCCTAAAAACACACATACAGGAAAACGAGGACAAAAGAACAGAACAAAAAACAAAGAACATACTAAAACTACTGTAACCTATCTAATATGAAATTGAAAACATGGCTTACATAGACACTAAAAGGATATTTTCACAACTACAATATTCCTCTGAAATTTCCTTTCAATTTATTACAAGATATTTGAAGAAAATTAAATGGTTCTGAACATATTGTACCCACTTGTTATAATGCATGTGATGGAAATTATAAGCATGAATACTTACTTGATTGATCATAATTCAGCTATCACATTTTATTCTATAATCAATTGACCGATATATACAATATATTTGCATTCTGGAACATTCGGTGTATATTTCATTGGGTAGAGTCAGTGAGAATTGATTTTCCGTCCTTGCCAGTATACATGTAGTACTCATAAATCCATTTTAGAATAAAATTATGTTTTCTGTCTGGTTGGATAAACAGATTAGGCATTGATGTCCTCTTTTATCTCACTTTCCTTTTATAAACATCAATGATATTGCTTACAATTACCAGGGGGCATACATGTACATGTATACTGACACAGTCAGAACAGGATAAATATGCAATCGCACCATTTGTGGATTGAGAATGCATTATTCTAATACAAGAAGTCTGTAATTATGCATAACAGCTCAATCAAGATGAGCAGAAACAGATTAGATATACAGGCTAGAATAAAACTCAGTTTGAATAAAAGATGAGGACTCTGTTCCTATTCTGATGAGGCAATGATATGTCTGGGTTCAAAAAACAAAGTATACAGGGAAGGATTGGCGTAACCATAAGATGCGTAAAATAATTTTGGAGGGCTACTGCCTGCAAAGCTAAAGTGGACTTTGCCATTATATTTAATGATTTAATAATTTAATGATTCATACATTAAGAGCCATTAATTAACAGAAATTGTTTTAAGTGTGCTAGTTTTTCATTAACATGGGTTATATTTAGAGTTTCTTAGACTCAGATCATGCATGCTTCTTTTGCCTGAGGATGGTGCCACTTATTACGAGCATCAGGGAGAGGAGATGAACTATTAATATTATGATTACAAATAAGGCGTAAAAAATTAAGTATTGTTTTTGCTGAATCTCTAATTGATAACCCACAATGCAAAGGCTGGATTCCTGAACAAAAAATTGTTGGCATGTCATTATGAAATAAACATGCCAACATAAATAGTTGCAGTAGCAACTACTCCGAAGATCAAGATACATTAATCTTGATCTAAGGAGACACGAACGAACGAACGAACGAAAGAAATAAACACAAGAATAGTCAATATAAATGCAGAACCTCTCGTTTTAAACAAAGTGCAATACCATATTTTATTGATCTTCTTAATAATCACTGATTGTTTTAAGTTTTTCTTTTCAAACCCAATCTTTTTTATTTGTGTATTTGAACAGTTGTCTTTTTAACCAGACCAGTATTTTATCTGTCATGGTTTCATTGTACGATAATGTAGATATGTTTTGTGAATGGATATTCTTTTCTATTTATATGTATCCTCGATCATTGTAAACACATACATTTCAGCTTTTTAGCCTTGAATTGAATTGAATTATCAATGATATAAAAGACTTCTTAACTACACACTCTTATCTTCACACAGTGCTTTTTAATGTCTACCCGCTTGCTCCATGGGCCTAGATTTATATTATCATTATACTTTTCATTTCCCAAATATGCTTTCTTTCTCGTAACTTTAGTTGTTGTTTTTCACAATGTATTTAGTTTTTACGGGCTGCCCACTTTGATCAGTCAAAGGGTTTCAAAACAATTGGCAATAATTAATCCTATTTACCGACCCGTCATAGTTAAGGGGAAAAATGTTTTGAACCAATATTAATGAAAATTGCAAAATTTAACAGAAAAATGACAGATTTGTACACAAAAATAGTGACTTGATATCTTAAATCGGGTTGCTAATTTAAAGACTAGTTAATGATGATTAGTTAGTTCAATTAAATCTAGGCCTGAGTCATGTCGGGATTTTCATAAACCGGGTCCCGACGGCCTTGCACCGGTCGGGACCCGGTGTCCCGAAATCAGCTCGCAGGATTTGTCACTTGCCTCTATAAAAAGCGCATATCATCAGTATGTCCCTTAAAAGTGACATTTTTATCAGTCAAATAAATCAACACATGCATACCTCGGCACAGATTGGTATATTCTTCCATTTGACATTATATTCATCCATGATTGGCGATGTTTAGTGCCATTATCGTGCCTCTAAAAGTAAAAAAAACTCGAGCAAAAATATAAAGACTACAATCGAGCCGCCATTTTGTCTATGCAGGTTGAATAAATCTTGTCCAAAAATATGAATGTTAGAATAATAAAACGGCTTTCTAAAAAATTCTTCTGTACAATATACCGATCATATAATATTTTAAAGACAAAAATAAATATTTATCTTTTATTTTAAACATCGCATGCTTTTTTTTTAAAGCTGAAAATTACTTGGTAATCACAAGAAGTTTCGATACGAATAGCTGTTGCAAGGCAAGTTCAGACTAGTCTCGGAAAAATGCGCAGTGCTCCTCGTTATCTGTAATGCGTGCCAGAACGAACCCAAACAAAGACGTGATCGTAACGAGAAAAAAATCATTAAAAACTACGAGAGCACAATTGGAAAGATATACTGCTCAAAATTACCATAATCAGATACATAACTTGGACAAAGAATTCAATAATCGCCCAAGAAATGCCACAGAAATTGTGATAATCGAGGAGTAACTGGGTACATTTTTATCGCAAGGGGCCTGCTGCAAATACTCGAATCCTTTGTTATACTGCTTTTTACCGTAGAGGGCGGTATTTGCCTCGTGTTCAATTTAAACACGTTTAGATATATTGCAGCAGGCCTTTCCGATAATGATTGTACCTATAGTAACTCATTAAATATCACTATTTATGTGGCTTTATTTGGACAACTATTGTATTCTTCCTCCAAGTTATGTATCTGCTTACGATAATTTTGAGTAGTTGTCTTTCCAATTGCGATCACGTCTTTGTTTGGGTTCGTTCTGGCACGCATTATAGCTAACAAGGAGCACTGCGCATTTTTCCGAGACTAGTCTGAACTTGCATTGCAACAGCTATCCGTATCGAAACTTCTTGTGATTACCAAGTCATTTTCAGCTTTTAAAAGAAGCATGCGGTGTTCAAAATCAAAGAAAAAATATATATTTTGTCTTTTAAAAATTATTCGATCGGTATGTTGTAAAGAAGTACTTTTTAGAAAGTCGTTTTATTATTCAAACATTAATGTTTCTTTCAACCTGATTTATTAATTCTGCCGAGAGACCCGGCCAGTACAGTAGCTAGCTAGCAGCTGGCAACAACAACCCCATGGGGCGAACTGCTTTGCAACCCATATTTATATCAGCAGTTCGGATTGATTCTGGATGAGCTAGAATACGATTGGTAACAATTAAATACTTAAGTTTTAGGGTGGATTGATTTTAGTGGTGTGCAAAACTGCAATTTCTTATATATTTCATTATTTTTTTCGGAGCGCCGGTTCTCAAAAAACGAAACCGGGACCCGACGGCAACGGTCGGGTCCCGGTGTGATCGACCGTACCGACTCAAGCCTAATTAAATCGCTCTCATTCAAAAACTTCAAAATGTACTTCATTGGAAATAGACTAAAAACTTTCTATACTTTTTGTTATTTCTGCTCATTTATAACATAGTTCCTAGCATTCCAGATAACAAATAACGCAAAAATATCACTTAAAGAAGACGCTGTACTGTTATGGTAAATCATTTCTGACTGACCTAAAGGTTTATAATTATGATTGCAGCATGAGCTAAATCCAGGATTTTGTTGAGAACCTGAGGCAAAGATACCCAATCCCTTTTAAGAGATATGACCCCTCATCTTACCTTTAAGTGTAGCCTTCTTTAAGACCTTCATGGCGTATTTTGTTCCTGCATCTTGACCTGATGTTTTTCTCACCAAGAACACCTGAGCAAAAGGAACAAAGAAATTAATAAAATGAAGTAAGTTTACATTCCTGTACTGCTGGTTATGAAATATTTGCATTGGTGAGCAAACTTTGTTTTCTTGAACTTCAACATTCATAATTAAAATCACTTTTTTGAATTCTGATTTTGTATGTGTAAGTGATCTCTAATTTATGCAGCTTGCTGTACATAAGAAATCCTGGAATATGTTCTACAATAGACAAATTATTTAATTCACCTGTTACAAATAATTGCAAATCAATAGTCAGTATGGTAATTGCAATATATTAATTATTCCTAGGTTAAACAAAGAAAACATCATGGCTTGTCCTTCCTATCGACACATAATTTATACAATTTGCATTCTGACTACCTACAATTACATGTATATGTAACAGGTGAACTAAATAATTGTAATGAGGCACTCATTAAAGTTTTGTGCAATAAAATTTGATTTTACATATATTATGAAAATGGCCTGTTTTCTCACGGACAAGAATCATTGCTTTAACAACATGTACATTCAAACCTGCTTTGTAAAATGACCACCTGTATAGAAAGAACACCTGTCTACAAAGACCACATTTTTTGTTTCGCTTGAAAATGGTTCCTCATTAAAACATGTACTATAGGCACCTGAACATAAAGACCACCTGCCTTTTAAGACCACATTTTTTGTTTCCCTTGAGAATGGTTTCTCATTGAAACATGTACTAAAGAAACCTGAACTTAAAGACCACCTGCCTATAAAGACCACTTTTCTTATCTCCCTTGGGTGGTCTTTATAGACAGGTTTCACTGTATATATATATATATATATCATGTGCTGAGAGCCAGAAGGGTGTTAACTCTCATGCCCTTCTGGCTCTGAACAGACGATACATGTAAATGTATGAAGTTTGAACTTTAGGCGGTGTCACATAGAAAAATCCCGACCCATCTTGAATAAACCAGATTTTAGAAATCTAGTTTTTTCATTTACTTTGGTGAAAGACTGGTGACAAATACCAATAAACCGGATAACTGATATCCAGATTTTTGATGGGCCACTGCGCATGTGCCGTTTAGGTAGATAAACATTGTTAAATCACACGTTCAATCATTAAATGTGCGCTACATTGTAATATAATTGTGCGCAGGTTATGATAGCGCGTTAAAAACCCTATGCCAGCCAATCACGTTAAACTTACACTGACCTTTAAAGAGATTATTTCAACATCGGTATCAGATAGAAAATCCCTTAAAAAAAACCTTGAAAAATCCTTTCAAGAGAGAATTATCTTGCTTCATATGAACATTTTTGAAGGGATTTTTGAAGGGATTTTTGAACAGACAGCCAATTAAGAGGATAACTAAAATCTGGATAACTAAAATTCAGATTTTGGGCCTCTGTGTGACACTGTCTCATGTGTGAACTTTATGTACCTCTGTTGGAATGTCAAAGATATGTAACATACATAGGTAGCTTCCATGTGAATAACATTACAGACATGTTATATGAGACAGGAAGTACAGGGCATAGAGACGGATGTAGCCTACACTCATCCTAGAACATATATGACTATCCAATATAACTCAGCAGGCACCTTTCAAATGAAAAGTGGTGTGATCAATAATGAGCTAGAGTCTCTAGGCACGTCTTCATCAGCTCGAGATTGCCAAGTAGCCCGCTATTTCTGATTTGGGAAATAATCCCGAAGTTACAAATCGCGTCTTCATCAGCTCGAGATTCGACCTCGAAACTTGAAACTCGACCTTGAGAAATTAGCTCGAGATATTTTGCTCAGCGTTCGCGCATAGTGTGAGTCTTCGGTCTGGTGAAGACACACCGGACAAATAGCTGGATATTTTGCAAACTATCCCAAGATATCTTGGGATGACAATCCCGACCAAATATCCCACTAATTGCAACTTCGGGCTGATGAAGACGCAAATTAGCTGGTAGTTAGCGATCGGGATAGTTCAAACAGCGGGATATTTGGCAATCTCGAGCTAGTGAAGACAGGACTTCTGGCTGGAGCACTTGTCATCAATTCATGCTGTCGCGTCGGTGGGACAGGTATTTAAATGAACATTGGTAAGAACGCACCACAGTGGAGAGGTGAGCCCCTTGGGAGGAGAGGAGGGCATCAAAGAGAAAAGTTTATGAAATTGAATGGAAAGGGCAAGTCAAAGGAGAATAATGGCCCGTTCAGACGGTAGGGAGAAACGATGTATAAAGAAACGTTGTATAGCGAAGAAGCATACAGACTAGATAACAAGATTGTACAAAGAAATGTCATATGAAGAGGGTATCTCACTGAGCGGCGAAAGCTTGCAAATTAAGCGAATTGGGGTTTCGCCAGGGTTCGTAAAAGGTCTCAAACAATCACAAATGATGGCAAAGGATTGGCAAATGGTGGCAAATGGTGGCAAAGGATTGGCAAATAGTTGCTAATATTCGCTAATACTGTTGCTAACATTTGCTTACAGTTACAATCATTAATAATCGCCAACTGCCAAAATTCACAACGTTCGTAAGCGTTCGCTGCTCAGTGAGATACCACCTTATAGAATCATTGTATAGCGAAGGAGCGTACAGACTAGATAATAACATTGTACAATGAAACGTAAGTTTGACAAAGGCTGCGTTCATGCTTAAATTTTGAAGGCAGAATGAGCGATCTGAAACGCTCATCGTAAACGCTCATCGTGATCGCAGTTCCACGATGTAGTGTTCATGCTTATTTCTCTGGCTCCCCCAGGCAATTCTCAGTGTGTGGCCTTAATTGGTCTTCCAGCTGGATTCGCAAACCTTCACTGTGCATGCTACGTAGACCCACTAGAGGTCAGTGCGTTGACCCCATTTAAACGCGTTTACAAATTGTAAACGCATCTTTTTGTGAGTTTACGATCGGCGATCGTGATCGCCGTTTTTCGGTGATTCTACAAAAGTGAGCTAAGACGCAACCGTGTTTTAAACTAAACGCGTAACAGATGCCTGATTCTGGCCGTCAAAATCAAGCATGAACGCGCCCAAAGTCAGTCGACAACTTGATGTGACAGCTGGCTAATTTTCATTTCTGTGTGCTCACAGTAAAATACAATACGACATTCAGACTAGAATAGGACCCCGAGTCTAAATTGAGTTTTCATTGAAACACGGCACAAACAGGTATTTTGCTACACGATAGTTCCAACATTTCTTAACAGGGCGCTCAGACTAGGAAAAATGTCATCACTAAATCGTATCTAGCTAAACGAGAGTCGTACAGCTATAAGACGAATGCCGGTAGTCTGAATGCAGGAAAAGTGGGATGGAAGCGAGGAAGTGTAGAAATAAGGAGGAGAGGAGGGGGGGGGGGGGGAGCATGTATGACTCTTTGATCAGTTAATTGTACAGGTATAAGAGTGGGTGGCGAGCTTGACAGAGAGGACATTTTAAGCAGGGAAGATTTATGAGAGGAAGTGGGAAGAGGGAGGATGATGAAATACGCCGAGTCAATTTAAACAGTCTGAATAATTCATACGACTGCAATATTCAATATATTCTCGAGATTGGGGGATCCTTACAGGATATGAAATGAAAAAAGAAGGGTCCGTCTAAACTGTAATTCCATTCGTCAAATATCTTGTATGCACTGATTTCTGTCACATAAGATGATATACAGTAATGCTGTTTTGTTTATATGAAGGTTGATAATGATCTTTAATACAAGTATATGGTGAAGAAAAAAAAATTCTCTTTTTGTGTTTGGTAATGACACAAAATCCAATCAATGTATTGTGTGCAAGAAAGAAATCAAGAAAAACAAATATAGAGTATCTCAATCTTGCTACAGTTCACTGCACTTCTAAAACTGGCTGACTTTGCATTGAAAATACAATAACTTTCATTCAATCAAAAATTCTTTAAAATAGCATGTTTTTTTATGATGTAGAATAACCTTCTTCACAAATGCAGAAGGTTACAATCAATGAACGTACCAGTAATCCCATTGTAAGTATCCAGAGTAGAATAGTAATTTGACTCAAAAACATTTAAACTGAAACCTGAATGATAGATGGTCTGTTGAGGAAACCTTGGGATCATGATACAACACTACTATTTTCTGATTTATTTGCCAAATCAGGGAATTAGTTCATAGGTATGGCATAACTGCACAAACTACAAATGACCTTTTATCTGCACACACACAATACATGTATAATCTCTGAAGTAGCTCGAGAGGAAGGAAAATCAAAAAAAAAAAATAGGTTTGTTCATGATCAAGTTTCTCTCTTTCTTAACCAATGCCCCCCCCCCCCCCGCCCCCCTCCCTTTTTGATTTTTACCTTTCCACATCTAAATATTATTTGCTAATGAGTATTCTGATATCTATTTTCAATGTGCTAGAATTCATGACCTTTCAAAATCAATACGAAAAATTAATAGAGCACAAAACACTCAATTATAATATTTGGAAATGTCAAGGGATTATTTAAGCCTATCAATGACACTATTTGAATGACAATAGGTAAGTGGTTTTGAATGTAAATCTTAATCAAATCATTTTAGAACAGTCCGAGTAGGTCTTGTACAATACAGCTAACGTGATGCAAGAGAGTGGCTTCCACGGTCGGTCCATCATTTCCTCAATTTATGCTGAAGTCCATTTCAAGGAGACACACACACGCTTATCTCCATTGATCATTTACCTCCTTTTATTGGGGTAATGTACTTTATACAACCACCATCTCAGCAAGAAAGTGGTTTCGGATTCCCGGACAAAATTAGGCACAAGAATTACGTCAGCGCAATCCCAATGTACTTTATACAACCACCATCTAAGCAAGAAAGTGGATCGGATTCCCGGACAAAATCAGGCACTAGAGTTTAATACGTCAGTGCAATTCCACTGCTCATTTTGGTTTCCATATGAACTTGTCCAGTCAATTTCTTTTCTCAAAAATATCATGAACTTAAATGGAAGTAGGTCCATGATGAAAGCATCGATTTGACATATCTGTTACATAGTGAACCAAAGTGGAAGGAAGTATGTCAGTAAGACTGAAGGACGTTGCATTAAAGGTACTATGTCCCATTTGCAGGCCCCAAAAATGAAAAGGTTAAATTCCAAACGCATTTGAAAGATAATACTAATTAGAACTTCCCTCAAAACGAAAGGGCTTGAAAATTGTTTTTGTTGGGAAAATAACGACCATTACGTGTCAAATCGACTTAAGTGATTGCAACCACTTAATAATTATCAGACACTTTTACCAAATGGTCGTAAGTTTTGTGCTGCACAAAGATTCAATCAGTTTAATTTTTGCCATTACAAGTAGATGGATATTGATGTACCGTATTTGCCGGCGTAAAGGCCGCAGTATTTTTGGAAGATAAAATATCAAAAAGTCGGGGTGCGGCCTATGCGGTGAAAGAGTAAAAAAAAAAAAAAAAAAGTAAGGCAAAACCAGCACGAATTTGCACATATGGGACTATAAACGGTACAATAACTATACCACTATGGTACAGGACATTTCCACACATCTTACCGACAATTTTATCTTGCATTGTTGACATGAAGACGAAAATAAATTTCCAAAAACAACATCTGCTGATAGATCTTGATCTAAGTTCATGCCAATGCATTGCAAAAGTAAAAGGGCCGTTTAACGGAGCTGCCGCGAAGCATCCAGCACGCGAAGTCGCTATTTTGAATCCATTTCAATACACAAGAGAGAGACGCAATGTATACATCACAGAAAACAGCATAAGCTAGCATCAGTGCGGGATGGCCGAGCGGTCTAAGGCGGTGATTTTAGTCACATCAACATTTGTACGCAAGAGATCAAATCCCGACTTCGACAAAAGTTTTTTTTTTTTTTTTTTTTAAATGTCAAAATCAGGGGGTGCGGCCTATACGGCGCTGCAGCCTTATCGCCGGCAAATACGGTAGTCAAATGCTCATGTACCCTTTACAGCTCATTTTATTTATGTTATTACCAAAGAAAAAAAGCCAGTCAGTCTCTCAAAAGTGTCTGACAGGGAACTCTAAACAGGGAACTCTAAACAGTAAACTGGTTACCTAGCATAATTTGGATACTAGGACACTGCTAATGTTTAAATTTCACAGATAGGACATACATGACATACATGTATTCATAATTCCTGCAAAGCTCTACAGAATTTGATGCTGGCTGCGAATGTGACATAGTATCTCTTAATAAAGAATGTCTAATTGAAGGATTTGATTCAATCAAAATATGATAATTGCTTACCTTTCCGAATGATCCTTGTCCTAAGACCTTGAGTAGCTCAAAGCAGCTTGGATCAGCTTTCTCTAAGCCCTCAGCAGCCATGCTGGTAACCTCTATCTCCCTCATCTCTTGATCCTCCTTGACAAACAAAACCAACATAGTCACATGTCAACAAAACATGATATTATCAGGGGAAAAATGTTTTAAAAATTTGGGGGGCTACTTTTCAAGCTAGCTGCATGAAAATAACATTCTCGAATTTGTTTTGCATAGAACTCTGTGCAAAAATTTTGGGGCTCTTTTATGACTTTCGGGGACTACTTCGCCCGAGCCCCCATGAATTTTTTTCCCCTGGATATTATATTCTCAAATGAAAAATGGCAACATCAAATCAGATTCTCAAACATTGTTAACATTATTATGTGGCGACATTGGTTAACGGTCATATATGGATTTGAATCTTACAGAGATAATGTGCTAACCCTATCAAAGTCTGTTTTTCGTTGGGGGCGGGGGGAGGGGGGCGAGGGAGAGGGTTTGTCTGCGACTCTGCGGGCACACTTTACCACAATTCCTGAAGCCTTGGACCAAGCTTAGCTCTGCCAGTCTCTGGCTGTGTCAAAGAAGAGCAGCTAATTAGACCATGCTGTCACACTATAGTCTCACAGCCCAGACACATCGACCGACTCTAAACAGGGGAGGGGGGGGGGGGTGTTGGGGTGGGGGTAGGCTCATGCCATCTGTAAGTCAAGTCTAGCGTCTATGGGTGCGTTTATTGGGTCTTGCCACTAGATATGTACAAATCGTACCCTACTATCATACCCCACTATCGAACCCCACTATACGAAAGTGATTTGCGGGATGTCACGTTTATCGTCTCTTCACGATTCAAAATAAAGGCCTTGTGTCTGCGCAGCTGTTTTGCGCCGTTTGACCCGGTAAGCAGACAGTTTTTTCGGAGGTCAACTACACACACATGCTTGTACACAACACATGGCGCACGCTAGCCTCCAAACCGGAAATTAACCTGGGTGGTCCGATTTGTATGTGGGGTTCAAAACAGCTTTGCGTTTATCATCTCTCAGAAACGTGATTCTGGCTGTATGTCACATTCAAAACACACCTTTTTGCGTCTTTAGATATGCCCATATCTAAAGACCTTTAAAAAAGGCTTTGCGTTTATCACCTTCTAAATTTGCCTGAAAGACGTTTGAGAAACCTGATTCTAGCCAAAAATTTGGTCAATAAACGCACCCTATTATGGACCCGGCCATGCTTCCATCTATCCTCCATTCCATCATCCTTCAGGCTATAACAATTAGCTGATGAATAAACCCCTCTTCTCCCCATAATGCATTTCTTATGAGATGAATTCCTAACTTTCCTATACATTCTACACAAAATATAATGCACTACCACGTAAAAAGTGACTTGATGCTTCAAAACATCATTTCTCATCTCATCAATACATGATGCGATGAACGACCGCTGCTTTTTTTTCTCTTCATGATGATGTTAAGTTAATATGATTCAAATTTCTATATATCTTATAACACAGACTTCAGTGAATGTGCGTAGGACTTAATTGCGCGCAGTTGCTTTTCATTTACATGTTAAAAAGTTCATCACTTCATATCTGAACGAGCCTTATGGGATTCAAAGGAACAAGTAGATGGGGGCATACCTAATCTTTGTGAATATGGGTCTGCTGAATATTGATTGTGATAAGAAATTGTATACAAAATAACATAATAATAATAATAATGAATTACTTAAAGATCTTTCCCAAAAGATAAAGCACACACACCCAAAACATAACCAAAGTTAACATACAATGACTGTACATGTACAAATCTGTGTCAATGATTCATATACAACACAAGTCCCTTTAATGATATCAGCCATTCCAATGTCGATTGGAGGGCAGCCTTGTAGAAACCAGCCTTGTAGAGACCAGACAGACTTCTTTACTTACATTATACATTGCTTATCCGGTCTTTCAAGTACACACAGCTAGCACTGATAATAAAAACTAGCCAAGAGCATATAGTATGTCACAGTAAAGCTACGTTGAACAGCACTGGCAGTGAGGTGTACAGCGGGGTATATTCCTGAGAAAAGTACGGATGTAATTCATCATTCCAGGAACCTGCAAATATTTACGACTGTACCGAGAAGTGACTCAGTTCTGGGCATGAAGGTATTTCCCCTCTGACTGATGCTCAACAACATTTTCAAGTCAACTGTTTCAGAGACCCTGACTTACTCGCTGTCAACAAGGATTCTTTGTAGGGCAGATCACTATCAGCTTTTCCTCTTTAAATTGGCAACACCAATATAATTGGCAACACCTACATGTTTATGTTACTGTTTAATACAGTCTTCCGACAAAACAGTCTGGGTCTAAATAAAGTTTCAAACAAATTATCTTTTACCGCAATTTAAACAACACTAATTGATAAGATCTATTTTACACTGAATCATATCTGCACCTTTGGACTACAAGATTTAGGTCCTGTTCTTAGTTTCCCCGAAACTTATAATAAATTAACCCCATGACATTTATTGGAGAGGGAAAAAAATGGGGGAAAAAACGGGGAAAAACAAAAGGGCAATATATATTCTGCTCATCCTGATCATGACATCTCAGAAGTGTTTTCATTTTCATCACTCCAGTGCCCTTTTAGATTGACAGATCATGTACTAAATGTAACTTGCCTTTAAGTCAATCAACATCACATTTGATTTTTTGTTTTAACAGTTACTATGTCAAATACAAAACTTGTCAAGAAAACTAAAGTGTATTTGCATACATGTACAGTATGATGTTGACCTAAGCTTTCATGATAATTCCCCCTGTATAAATGTCAAATGCAATAGCTCTTGAACTCTCTTGATCATACATGATGTAAAGAGTGTCAAATGGGAATTTCATCAATTAGAGCCCCTTATTGTGACTCATACCTTTACTAAGGACCTTGAAGGTGAGAGGCTTGAAAGTTTCAGTATTGGATTACATACAGGTGAAGGCTAAGTTCACACTTTTAAACCATGACTAAACTTAAAGTTTACAGAGTGTTGTGTAAACCTAACTATGGATACAGAAAGACATAATAATACTCAGTTTTTATATAGCGCTTTATATTACAATCACTAAGCGCTTCGAAACTTGGAGATTATTACCCCCGCTTTATCTGTGCTGCCATTACGGCGCTTTAGCATTTCAAGGAATTAATTCCTGCCAGGTACCCATTTACATCACCTGGGTTGGGTGTGGCAAATGTAGATCAATGTCTTGCCAAAGAACCGCGGACCCTGTGATCGACAGTCTGGCGACTTAACCACTCGACCGCGGCACCTCTAGACATGTGTACATGTACCGTAAATCTCCGTGTATAAGGCGCACCTGTGTATAAGGCGCACCCCTTATTTTGGGAAGGAAAAAAAAAAAAAAAAAAAAAAAAAAAAAAAAAAAAAAAAAAAATCGTTTTTTTTTTTTTTTGGTTGTTGTTGTTTTGTTGCCGAAAACCCACGCGGGGAAGGACCTTCATTTTACATCGAGGTGCAGTTGAAGGCGCTGATTTGTGCTTGTGAACTTGTCACAAATAATAGTAACAATGTCGTTTTTAGAAGAGTGTGTAAGATCATTAATGTAAATAAAAAACAAAAGAGTACATATGGTACCAATGGTGCACCTTGTGGAACACCATTTGCTATTCAAAAAAATATTTGAGGAATTATTATTATAAACTACATATTGAGATCTATTAGAAAGATTACTTTATAACCAAGATGATAGACAAATTTGAGTGTTGTTGTAGTTTCCGAGTGGTGAGTCAACACACTAATTACTGAGCTGGGAGACATTGCCAGGCATAGCGCCATAAATCGAAACTAAAAAAAAAAAACTATAAAAAAAAATTTAAAAAAAAAAAAAAAAAAAAAAAAAAAAAAAAAAAATTTCTGTACCTGTGTATAAGGCGCACCCCCGACTTTCAAATTTTTTCGGCGGCAAAAAAGTGCGCCTTATACACGGAGATTTACGGTAACTGCAAGATAAGTTCACACTTTAAAACCATGACTTAACTTAAAGTTAACAGGGTGTTGTGTAAACCTATCTATGAATACAGAAAGACATGTGTAACTGGAAGATAAGTTCACACCTTTAAACCATGACTAAACTTAAGGTTAACAAAGTGTTTTGTGATCCTACATGTAACTATGGATAGACAGACATGTGTAACTGCAAGTTTAGTTCACACTTTAAACCATGTCTAAACTTAGAGTTTACAGAGTGTTGTGTATGGATACAGAAAGACATGTGTAACTGCAAGATAAGTTCACACTTTTAAACCATGACTAAAGTTAAAGTTAACAGAGTGTTGTGTAAACCTAACCACGGATACTGGAAAGACTTCACAAAGATCATTTACAGTTCTGTTTTCATAGTAATAGAGCTTTGTAATAGTTGACTACATGAACCAAGGAGAAACATTTCCTTCCTGTTAGTTACAATACACTAAATAAAGCTACAGAGAATGCCAGATAGCTGTACGACGCAGTCATCATCAAAACGGCAACCACTGGCGATCGTAAAGTTGGCGGCTTACTTCAGTCTGCCAATTCACGTCTGAGGAAGATATCTGAACTCTAGACATCAAAACTGATACAGGTAAATTTCGGATATGATACCAGGGCCCCAACTTACAAAGAATTATGATAGATTCAAATCAATCGCAAGTTTGGAGTCTCCTATCTCTTAATATGTACATACATGTAGTTGCGATTTATATCCACTCTTTGAAAGAGGGGGCCCAGAACTTTCAAATCATTATTACAACCATCCTGATGAAACTCTTTCATAATCTACAGAAAATAGAGAGTTTCATATTGAAGAAGAAAAAAGATTCATAGTTTGGTTTGACATCTACTAGACAAAGTATATTCAGTAAAGATATTTTAATATCTTGTGCACACACAGTGGAAGTCCGTCCCGAAAAACAAGCATAGCTTTGTAAAATTATTCCTAGCTAAACAATCAAGGAATTTGAAGGAGATTACAACATTAATACCAGGAAGTAATGTTTCTCTTAAAGGGGAAGTCCACCCTGATATTAGGTTGGTTTTAATAGAAGCAG